TATCAATCGATAAATAGTTCCTATTTATCTTGTACATTTATCTATTGTGTAGTTAGCGCCTAGTTTTAAAGTCAATTTCTTGTGATTATTTTTACTTTCTAGCTTTATCAAATTTTTGTAAACACCGCCTTTGAATCTTGCAGAAAAGGCGCTATATAAATGGATTATTATTACTATTTTATATGTACATATTCAATTTGTGAATACGCGTAAATGTTATGTTAGACAAACAACTTGAGCCTTTAGGCTTGACTACATGATTCAAGGTGGTCATTGTGCATAGGTTGAGCTGTGGTTAAGAACCTCAAAAATATTTGATTCCGTGTTTTACAAAACAGATTATCTATATTAGCAGGTCTGACTTTAAAAATGAATTGTTTGTTTAGACAATGCGAAGGTGTTATTTTTAGACTATTCTTCTAGAGTAATATTAAGAATGTTTGTAATTATGCAACTTTAACACATTTTAATACTTGTTACATTCTGGTCTAATTCTTTTTTTCTTTTCTGTTTTCCTCGGATTGGTCGGAACGTCGTGTCTTTCCCTCACTAAATTTGATAAAAATTTCTGCATTAAAGAAACTTCTTACTTCTGTTTTTCTTATCAAAGACTCCATTAATCTTTTCAGTAGACCGAAAGCCTTCAAGTACTGAGCAAATTATCTTCATTAAATAGTCCCCGTGGGCAATCTGTTTTTCGCGAAAGGAGAACCGTAAATTATTGATATGAATGGAAGTGCTCTGAAATGGAAGGTCAAATACGGAGAACATGAAAAGGTTTGGAAATAGTATTTCATTTCACTTTTTTCTAAAATTGCGTCTTATCATCCTAAGTGGAAGAGGCTCTTTGTTGTTTAATTCATCCGTATTGATGGACCGTCCGAGTGCCAATCAGAAGATTATTTCTAATCTCTTCTCCCAGTAAAGATCATGGATATGTAAATAGTCCACTTTGATCACCAGCTTTAAAATGAAAATTAATATGGCTGAGGGGACCCACTTGAAATTCACCAGACAGTAGGCGACAACTGCCTTACAAACACTGTTTCATAATGAAAGAGAACTTTACCATACTGAGGGATGATCACGTCAGTCAGAAAATAGGGGTAGAATTTTACTTTTGCTAACAAATCCCTGTCTTGGTGCAACTTCCGCAAGCGGCTTGACATTTTTGTGGACAAGTACGCCGCCACGTCCTAAAGTAATTCAAGTGAATTAAGGCTTGATCATTCGTATTCCAACAGCCCCAGCGAGGCTCACGGGAAGACTGCGAAGTTTTCATATGTGATTCAACATGGTGTCCTTTGGTCGTGCAACAGTCTCTCGATCACGCTTAAATAACGGTGGAATGCTTTCATTGAAGTCTTGAGCTCGTTATTGGGAAAATATGTGGAAAATGGTACGTACGTCAAATAAAGGTAAGCTTTCGTTTCTCCTGTTGTGTGAGTGAATGTACACGGCGAAATTGCGCTCTGAACACTCTGAACTGTTCTCACTGCAGGTGAAAGATTGCCTGTGTGACTTTATATCCAAAAATGCGTTAAGATTGAATCGCTGTTTACCCTGAAGAAATGCTTTCTTGAGAAGATTTCTTCTCAGGGATCTTACGGTGTCAGTTGTGATTTTGTAGTGTTTTTAAACGATGAAATGATGGATTCTCCTTGCTCGTGCGCATACTGCATCACACGCTCTGCAAGAGAAGATATATCTTGTCCTGGATTGTTGCAAATATCTAATTTAGGCTTTAGCACATCATTCAGCACTTCTTTGGTTTGTTTTTAGGTTAAGAAAAATACAAAGCGACTTTCAAACCAAATTGTAAGATGTCATCGGCCAGATATTCAATTACATTAATAATTTTGCAATTGTGATTTCGTGTGTTACATTCTAGATAGATAGATAGATACTTTATTATAAACACCTTGCAGCCATGGGCTGAATTACGGAATATTTACAAGTACAGATGATAAAAATGACGTGTAAAATATTACAACTTCGTCGTTAAGAAAGAGGGAAAATTATCTAAAACTTATAAATATGGCTAAAAATAAAACTATTCTTCAAGCGCTCGGTTGAGCCATTTAGGAGAGTTTTAAACTACTAAAAAGATGAACAGTTAAGGAGCGCTTCAAAGTGCGGCCATACGTGGCGCATACATAAATAAATCCATACATAAATAAATCTATAGGAAAATTCATTACTTGACGAGGGAATGCCGCTTTAAATCGCACGCGAAAAGCGAAATTACACGAATCACGAAGAGATGAGTGCGATATCGGTTTTCAAGTGCAATTTAACACGGCATTCACGAGTCAAGTAATGGATTTTCCTTAAATCGCAGGATTAAATAAAAACAGGAAGAAAAAAGAAAACAGCATTACTTAAAGTTGTTATGTATACGTAGATGCGAAACAATATCACCTAGCCTCGTTTTCAACTTGCAATTTTACGCTAAATACTTCGCTTCGTTAACCAATCAGAGTGCGATATTTTATTTGAATGTCCCATTCTAAACTTAATTAACCTCATGCAAGCTTAACTTTATAGTATACCTCAATTTACCGCAATAGTGGATTGGATTTTTGTTTCAGCCCATCAGCTTGGAATGCTAAAACAACCAAGGTCACTATTTTTCTCAAACATTATTGGGCAGTAAATTGACTTTTCCTTGAGTGACCAAGCTGTTAATTTCCAGAAGAACTTCTTATACTGAAATCGTTTGTAGAATGATGTTAAAGTTCACGTCACAATTATGCACAAAAATACAAGCTATGTTTAAAAATCCTTCAACCTCAAATTTAGAGTGCACTACTTACACAAGGTAGTGAATTCACTTTATAGCTAAATAGCATCTTGATTAAATATTAATTTCGCATTGCTAGACTACACTGTTAAATTAAATGCATTGTGATTTTCCAGAGTTTGAGCAACTCTAAAACAACTGTTTTCGTTTTCTTCCTCCTAGCTGCAGTTTCACTGCTGCTCCTTAGGTCATGTTTATTGGGCTCTCTTTAAATTGATTATTTGAAAGACTCTCTCTAAATTTGAATGTCATTAAAAGCTTTCTTTAAGCCTTTAGTGTCAGAGTTTGTATCTTAAGAGGGTGTGTTTCATAGTGTTCAATTTAATATCTTGATTAATTGATCTTGACGGACATATAAATTGGCTTATGATCACTGTGGTATGACTCAAGTGTACCTGCAGATTTTACATTTTCCCTTATTCTGTGATATAAATTGATTGATAGATGTGGTATATTTGTATAAATGTCATCTATCAGAGTATAGTAGTCTGTAGACGTATACTGGTTAATCAACTGTGTATATCCTCTTTCTTCGATTGAACATTTTGTATCAAGTAACCTTTACGAATGTTTCCCGAAGACAACCAAAAAATCGGAAGCCGCGGATTTCGCCCATAACGAGTTTCGCCCATAAAGCGTTTCGCCCAGACCTATACTGGGTATAGGTCTGGGTAAAGAACTGGCTACATAGAATGAGAATCTCTGATCCGACTAGAATTATTTCTGACAAGAGAGGTCGAGATTCGAGATTCGTAAGCTTACTTTGCCTCGATTATCGGGGAATAAAAAACGTTTCCCGCGTTACGGTGGCCAATTTACAATTTCATCTTAGTTAATATAACAAATTAGCCGACTAGATTTAATTACTTCTACTTGTGGGCGAAACCATTCTCGTTCTGGGCGAAACGATGTGGACGTTATGGGCGAAACTCGGTATAACCGAATTCGAACAATCGATCTAAAACTCCTGCCGTTTTTTAAGCCTTATTTTGTATAAGAGAAAAATCGAGTTTCCAGATGGGATTTGAACCCACGACCCTCCGTGATCTAGTCGGATGCCCTAACCACTGAGCAACAGGAGACTCTATGGTGAGCAAGGGTCAATTAGTGGGTATTGACTGGAACCGCATCACGCGGCTACCCAGCCAAACATTTTGTATACTCATACTTATAATCAATTGCAAGCTGCGGTGAGCTTAGTCCCATGCCAAGCAGCAAACCCGAACAACGAGATTAAATACTTAGATACATTATGAAGACTTCCCTGTTGTGTTCTGTAGGTTACGAAGAACGAACCATGAAAGACTTACTTCAAAACAAACGATGCCAGTGTATTCGCCAGGCTACATTCTGAACCATTTACGCCGAAGATCTTCGGTGTGGATCTTTGCCTTTTTCCATATAACCCTTTAAAAATCTTGGCGTACATTTCGGAAACCTTCTGATTTCGACCAATCGATAAGGAGCTACGAGCAATGTCCAAATACTGCTGCTAAACCAGCAATTTCACAAATTCTTGCTTCGAGCTATTTGGAACTGAGTAAATTTATTCGAGTCAAGGAAAAGTATGAGGAGTGTCTTGAATTTGCTAAATACATCGGGGACAAGACATATGAGGCTCACAGCTATTGCGATATCGGATCTGTTTATATTGAAAGGGGTGATTATGAGCAGGCGAAAGAGTTACTCAAAAAAGCGCTTAGCATTGCAAAAGAACAAAGACACCCAATCATCGAGTACCGGGCTGTACAAATCTTTGCGACATTTATAGTCGACAAGGTGACGTTGAACGAGCCAAGGAGCTTGGAGAGAAAGTTTTTACCTTTGCGCGGGAAAGAGGGGAGAAAATAAACGAAGCACGGGCATTGAGCAACATGGGTGTTATATCTCAAAGGTCTGGAGCCTTGTACGAGGCTGCTGATTATTCTGAACGCAGAATTAAACTTCTTAATGAAAGGAGAGTTCTGCAAGCTGAAGATGCGTTGAAAGCGACGTTCCGTAACGCACATCAAGTAACTTACAGTGCTCTCAGGGAAACTTTGATAGGGCTCTCAAAATTCGACGAGGCTTTGTGTGCTGCGGACCAAGGACGAGCTCAGGCCTTGTTAGATCTCATGAAACTACGATATGAATTCGAGCTGTCAGCCTCTGGGTCAGTTGAGGGTAAACAGAAGATCTCTGAAATAATTCGTGCTAATTCTAGTTCAAAGCTTTTTATTGCACTGGATGAACACGCAGTTAATCTATGGGTACTCGGGAAAGACAGAAATGTACAGTTTACCCGGGTAGAAGTGCGCTAACTTCTAGGAAACGCAACCGGCTATTTCCATCGCTTAAGAGAGAAGGCTTACAAAGAAGTACAAAGAAAATTCCGAGTAATCTGCGAAAACCGCACATTTGATGAGCCACGTATCGAACAAGAACTGCCGCCCGCTGAGGAAAGAGGTGAAATAGCGGTAGACCCATTGCAATCTGACTAGAATCCCTCGCGTCTCTTTCATGATTACATTATAAGTCCGATTAAAAATCTGATCGAAGATGGCGAGTTGGTTGTTGTTCCCGATGGTCCACCGTGCCTTGCCCCGTTTGCTGCATTTTTGGATTCCAAATCCAAGTATCTCAGTGAATCCATGTGCATACGCATTCTTCCGTCATTGATGAGTATGAAACTAATCAACGCCTGCCTGGAAGAGTATCACCAAAACACAGGGGCGCTGCTCGTTGGAAATCTGTGGGATTAGCCCTTAATCCTCTTACCTAGCAACCGCGCTCGACTTATAAATATCCTGATGTGATTATGCAACAGTTCAGTTGACCTCAGGCCTTGCTCTTGTAAGCTCCTCTTCCCATTAAATGTATAGCTCTAAATATATACTTGGCCTCCACTCTTCCTTTCGCCTCCGATAATCGCACAAAATCCATGTGTTTTCTTAGACGGAGGTAACAGATTTGCGCCTTTGCCTTTTGCCGAGGAGGTGGAGATGATTGGAAAAATGCTTGGTATCCAGCCACTTACTGGAAAGGAGGCAACCAAGGGTGAAGTACTAGAGAGAATTAGTACAGTTGCTGTGGTTCACATTGCTGCGCACGGCAAACTCGAGACTGGAGAAATTGTTTTGGCTCCAAATCCAGTTCGAAAAGACAGAAAACCTGAAGAACAAGATTTCAGATTAATCATTTCCGATGTGATAGCAGCAAAGATGCGAGCAAAGCTTGTTGTCTTAAGCTGTTGTCACAGTGCACAGGGCAAAGTGTCAAGTGAGGGTGTGGTCGGCGTTGCACGTGCTTTCCTAGGTGCTGGTGCTCGCTCTGTTCTGGTAGCACAAACAAGGCTACAAAACAAGAGAGCAAGCCTGTATTTATACGTGGTTTTAAGTGACTTGTTCAGCTCAATGTTATTTTTCCTTTTATTTCAGGTCACAAGAAGACGCATCGATGACGGAAGTCAAGGCTCAGAAAGAACTTGAACAAATGCCATGAAATGAACACTCTAACGTGCAACCTTTTGATGAAGAATTTGAATTGGTACGATTGGAGTAACTTTTGACAACGAGAGCACTGAGAGAAAACTTATGCAATACTGGGGTGAGAGTAGGATCTCTTAATGATTTCAAAAGAAAGCATGTAATTCAAGTGTGCAGTTGCAAACTCAGTTCAATTTCAAATGCTTCACTTTTGTTTTAGGCTGGAGTCGGTGCATTTTAACAATGCGAAAATCTCTATGAGTGCATACCAATATATCTGTGATACTTTCTAATTATTTTTAATGGGAATTGACCCATACTACTCCCTTGCGATCCATGCACGCCAATTGTCAATATTTCGACCCGCTCAAGTCGTGAAACAAGAAGACTGGGGTCACTTCTTGGCCCGAATCGATTTTCTAAGTATGTTTCTACACATGTACATATTTCAAAGTTTCCATCTAAGACCTATAATTCATATTAAACTGAAATGATTTTCAGCAAGATTTTTTAATTTTACAGATTTTTTGACATTCAATTTTTAAACTGTATCTTTGTTTCGTTTAGTAAATAGGCGTTGCCTTTGATGATAGATATATTTTAATTACGCGACTCGTGATTGACATTAATTCCGTACAATGATTCAAAAGTGTTAGCTTATTATGTTTTAAACCAGTTTTTCAGAAGAATCAGTAGGAGAGAGAAGTCGGTTTTTATAATCTTCTAACCTGAGGAGAAAAATCTGTTTTTACAACCCGCCGCAGAAGTAAGTGTCCAGTCACGTTTTTCTTGAATTTTACTACAAGATTAAAACTTATTAATTTGCGTTTTTCTGATTTCGATTTACAAATGTATATCTCTTAGATCGAATAATTAGTAAAGCTTGGATAATATTATACGGTTTGTGGTGGTCATTTGAGCTGACCAGTTCCGAGTAAGGAAACAATCTTATGATTCTTTCCTTTGATTGGTTCCATAGCAACATATTTCAAAAAATAAGTTTATAAGTACACATTTTACATTGAGAGAAGTTTTCCGCTTGCAAAAATTAAGTTTATCTAAATAAGAATAGATGTAGCGTTACGTCGCTGCCGTAAATTTGCCAAACAAACTTTGACGCAGTTAGAGTCGAAAAGATGAATTGTCATGGTAAACTTATCTGTTTTACATTCAATAAAAAGCTTGCCAGCTTGAGATGAAATATACAAGTTCTATTACATCTCTATGAAAAATTCACGTTTGTTACGACAACGAGAAACCCACCGGACCAACTAGGTCTGGACAACTTTCCACTGTTTGGCTCTTTCGTTTGGTTTTCTCTCTTTCCAAGTTCTAGAAATATTAAGATTTATGCGAGGGGGACTTGTGCGAAAAGTAAAGTGAAAACAACGGTTCAAAAGATGACTTTGTCTTTCTCGTTATTTTCGCGACTTGATCAACTGCTCCAGTCATACCTCGCACAATGAACTCAAACATTCCGAAAATCCTGGGGTGAAAGTAGGGAGGAACGTACGACATACTAACTTCCCATCAAAGTGAATCAGAGCACTTCGAGTGAAAAAACTTCGCTGAGGACAGGGTGATTGATTGATTCCATGAGAGAAAATGGAAACATAAAAAGTCCTACTCGGGGCCTGAAAAATTTGACTAAAATGTTTATTCTGTTCGAAATTTTCATCTATATTTGGCACGCCTTAACAAAATCTCCACAGACGATCGGTATTTTGATCGTTGTTTTTTGGTTAAGTTCCTCACCCACCGCTAACTTTCAGGCTTTCATGGCTTTTTTTTTTGTTACCCATTGATCACTAACCTTAGCCAAACCACACAACCATTGAACCTTGTGTGTTAATTTACAGGATCAAAAGATTAAGGCTACTGAGGGACCGAAAGGGTACTAATATTACCCGGGGGCACCTGACACGGGTAACGTTCTGCGGCGCCGTATCCTATTGCGCACCGTTTTATCAACTGAACACATGTAACAGGCTTGATGAGTATCGTCTTTATTTCGCTTTGCATGACTCGTTCGTTACAATAGATCCCGAAGTTTGAACAAAATATATTTACATGATTAGCCCTTTCTCAAAACGATTATCCCCTTAAATTTCTCTAAAATGATACAGGCTTCTTTTTCTTTTAGGATTTTCGAAAAACCCAGGTAATTGGAAGCTTTCAATTGAGCCTTTATGACAAAATATCCTTCAACATATTTGCGGAATTTAGACTAATCAGCTCTCGCCTTAAATCGGAAGTACCCAGGTACATCCGTGTCTTCCACCATAACTTCTGGATTGCCCCACAACTACGGCGTCAAGGCTTTTAAAACCCCCACTATGTGGGACTAAATAGTCACATTCAATTAATATGCTGCAAATAGGATTTCACGGGAAGGTAAGATCATTTATCATCACAAATATCTGAGGGTTTCGTCACCAGAAAGGAAACTGAATAATCATGACTATAAACATTTCGAGATGTATTTTAGTTACATACTTTGCTGTTAAATAGCAATAGTATTGGACCGGGCACTGTCCCGAATGGTCCCGAATGATACCGCACTTGTGTCCCTTTGAACTTCAGTCGTATAATAAATCTCTTATTAACCAAGCTTGCTCGGGACCGTACTGGAAGAATATCGGCCCTCCGTCTTTTTTGTACGGACCTCGCTGCGCTCAGTCCGTACTGTCAAGACCTCCGGCCGATATTCTCCCAGTACGGCCCTCGCGCTTGGTTAATAAGATATATTTATCTTCTTCAGATATTAAGGACAGTTTCATTGTGTATCAGAAATTGAATAATTCTCGATTCTACAGACAAGGTGATAAATAGGATGGCTTTCTGTCCTATGATTCGTACGAAGCAACCTTTCTTCCTTGAAATCGCCATGGCGGACCAAAATTACAACACAGTTAACCGAGTAACCCTGTTCTGCCAACTCAATTCGACAAAGACCCTAAAATGGCGTTTCTGCTTGAAAGGAATATTAAATAACAATATTTCATGCATGAAATATATGTTGACGGATAAAACTGATCTTTAGAGGAGAGAACATCGCAGAAAATACATTATCTACAAGCAAAGTGAAAGCCGCACGATCCGGTGGGTTCGAGAGGAAGTTATGCAAATCAAATAGTGCCGACCTCGGCTCTTGTTTTCTCAGAAAAGCAGGTGGTTCTCGGAAAAATAAGTTTATTTTAATGATAATGAAAACCTCGGTCCTGACGCCTCTGAGTGAATTGCATATTTACCAGTTCATAAACACAGTTTCTTTTGCTTGGCTCTAATCATGACATCATGCCTGTTCAGTACTCTCTCGGAAAAGGCTAGTTTACTTTCATCTCACCTTATTTATGCACAGTTGTTGCTCATGAAGGGAAAGCTACGAACCTAGCAGTTTATCGGAACCAAATATACCCATGCCACAAAGGGCTATATGTAAATAGATATAAATCATAGGAAAATAATCAAAGAAGCAAGCTTCGGATGCAATTATGTATCATAGAGCGCGTCGGAGCATAGACTCAGCACGCACACATAGAAGGCTTTTATTTAAGACAATGGATATCTCAACAGTTCTCTGGCGAGTGTGGCTTGTTATCATAAGTATATAACTAATCGATGCTGACTCAGAGGAGAACAGAAACCAACTCAGTACGTTGATCAAATAAAACAAGAAAAAATGTTATCTGTCTTACCTATAGCGGTGTGGAAATTTTCGATGCTTCTTCTCTGTTCCTGTAAAGAATCTGTTGTTCTGTAATAGCCGTTGAACCCTTTCCAAGCAAATTAATCAAAATAGGAGCAGTTAAGTGCCACCTCTAACGTCTAAACTATGGCGCATTCAGTCTAAATGACGAATGAAAGTGGCACGGACTTAAATAGCTGGATGTGATGTAATGCGTGACAAAGTCGGGGAATCCCCTGCACCATAGCTTTGTTTTCAATCCATGTTAAAATATTACTATTAGCATAGCGAGAATTTCGACTAAACAGGTCGAACCTACTGTCTCGTTTCACAAACCTTTTCAAGGAAAGCTCAATGGATCCGTTTCGTAGAATATTTCACGATAAAAGCCTTAAAAGTGCGTGTCATGATCTGTGAGATTTACTGAAGGTACAGAAGCCCGTTTGTTTTCGTGTCGTGTGCAAGAAAAATAGAAATCGGTAAAAGCTCCGTTTTGTTTTTTTAATTTTTGGCTCTTCTTATAAAGAAGTATCCCTTCACGATCGTGATGTTAAATGTCATCGGAAAGCATGATATCTACAGTCGCAGTACATGATATTTATTCACTTTTTCATGAGTGAAAAAGAGTTAATCTTCAAAGGACAGAATATATGGACGTAATGTATACGGTTATCTGTGGTTAATGTATTGTACTCATGATATCACAAAATTATAATATGGCAAAAGTTGTTTGTATTAGGAATTGACTGGTTCTAGATTCTTTGAACAATAAGAGATATAATGGCGTGCTGCTCCTTTGACCAATATAATATTTCCG